AGTCATTTTTCATTGGAAAATTTTGAAATTTTCCTATAATGAGCTTTACACATTCCCCTATTTCCTGGAAAAATTTCAAAATTTTCCCTTTGCCAGTTTTCCAGAAAAAAATTTAAATGCAAGAGGTGAATTTTTCTTAAATAAGTCAATTTTCCAGAATTTTTCCTGGAATCATTTTTTATTGGAAAATTTTGAAATTTTCCTATAATGAGCTCCATACTTTCCTCTTTCTCGTGGAAAAATTTCGAAATTTTCCTTTTACCAGTTTCTCAGAAAAAAATTAAAATGCAAGAGGTGAATTTTCCTTAATTTTGCTTAAATAAGTCAATTTTCTGGAATTTTTCCTGGAGTCATTTTCTATTGGAAAATTATGAAATTTTTCTATAATGAGCTCCGCACTTTCCTATCTCTCCTGGAAAAATTTCAAAATTTTCCCTTTACCAGTTTTCCAGAAAAAAAATAAAGTGCAAGAGGTGAATTTTTCTTAATTTTGCTTAAATAAGTAAATCTTCTGGAATTTTTCCTGGAGTCATTTCCTATTGGAAAATTTTGAAATTTTCCTATAATGAACTCCTGAATTTTTTCTTTCTCCTGTGAAAGTTTAACAATTTTCCCTTTGCCAGTTTTCCTGGAAAAAATTAACATGTAAGAGGGTGAATTTCGCTTAAAAAAGTCAATTTTCCGGAATTTTTCCTCAAGTGATTTTCCACTAGAAAATTTTGAAATTTTCTTATAATAAACTCCTGATTTCCCTCTTTTTCCTGTGAAAATTTCACAATTTTCTCTTTGTCAGTTTTCCAGGAAAAAATTAAAGTGTAAGAGGATGAATTTTGCTTAATAAAGTCAATTTTCCGAAATTTTTCCTGAAGTGATTTTCCACTGGAAAATTTTGAAATTTTCCTATAATGAGCTCTACACTCTCCTCTTTCTCCTGAAAATTTTTTAAAATTTTTTCTCTGCTAGTTTTCCAGAAAAAAATTAATTTACAAGAGGCTTCATTTAATTTAAAAAACACTGGAAAAGTCTAGGAAAATCGGAAAATTAAGGGAAAAAAAGTTGGTTTCAGGACTTTTTGGGATCTCCTCTACAAAATGGCTATCTTGAAATTTCGAAATTTTTACTTTGATTTTTGGTCCTATACCTACAGTACAGAAAACTCTGAAAATTACAAAAATTGAAACTTCAACCGCCTGTAGCTCCGTAACGGTAAGTCCTAGAGGAAAACTGTTCATGGCTACATTGTAGAGATCGTCGAGATCTACAAAAAAAGCTGAGTAAGTTGTTCCTCTACGACTCACTATTTCCAAGATATTCCACTTGGAAGATTTAAAATCGATGGATCCCAGGATTTTTTTTCGGCAAAAAAATCAAAGTCAAAATTTCCCGGATTTTTTTTCATGACGTCATAGAGGACGTTCAGACAAATGTCGGAACCCACTTTTCCCCCCTCAATTTCTAGTTTTTCCACTAGTTTTTGCTCCATTCCTTTTAGATGTTTCCCATATAGAAAATGGAAAATCGAAATTTTTGAATTTCGAAAAAACAAAAATTTCACTGTATAGAGGAGGTCAAAATAAGCCGAAAACCTCTTTGACATTTTCCTATAGGACGTCTCCTAAGCTCGGAAAAAAAATAAAAAATAAAATTAATAGAGAAGAGAGCTAGGCTTTTATATTTTTAGGTAGGTACTTTAGATAGTGTATATTAAATATTTTGAAAACTGTAAGTCGTAGAGGGAAAACTATAGATCTCTTTTGAAGAGTTTTCCTCTCAGACTTACGGTTTTTGAGTCGAGTACAAATTCTAGGATTTCCTCAAGAGTTTTGTAATCTAATACTTAACATATCTAGAAATAATAGGTATCTGTTTTCACTCAGCAAAAAACTACGTAAATATACCTAAACTCGTTTCAGTTTCAAGAGAAATTACACGGCCAGTTAAGCACAACGACCAAAGTAAAGCTCAAGACAAACTTTGCTAAATAACTGTGCAAGGGCAAGAAAGTTATGCTTTACAACGGCCTCTATTAATATTACCCAACATTGTGTTTGCGCATTAAACAAAACAAGTTTTTCTCTGTTGAAAAAAATCATATTAGGTAATATTATTACTACACTATACAATAATTTATAATAATTTTTGTTTTTCTGCTTCTGTAGCTGGGTATTATATATAATCTTTAAAAGATAAGTCATATGTTATCTGCAGCTGCGAATATAAAGAATTTATTTCCATAAAATTAATATTAACACGTTGTGGCAAGTAAGAGATTCGACCAGTTAGTTTCCACTGCTGTGACAAAGCATCTCGCAGAAAAGTAATTCTCCTTTTATTCTAGAGAGGCGAGAGACCGCAGCAAGTGGGAGTTTCTTTATTTATTTAAGAGCTCGTTTCCGTTTTTGATTTCATAAATTATTTATAAGTTAGAATTAATGAATAAGCTAATTTGGTGGTCGTTTGAAACAGGAACGTTTAGATAATGTATTATTTTTCCTTCTAGCTCTAACAGAGAAAGGAAGGAAATGCTCAGAGGTATAGAGATTTATATCAAATGTCAAAAACTCAGGAGCTTATATCCAGATTATTAAACCCAAGGAATGGATAGAACATTACAAGGGTCTATTACAAGAAAGTAGGCCAGAATGGTGTATTAAATTCTCCAAGACATATTGAAGTACATGGAGAAGTAGTTGAGATATGTGAAGTCAATTGCTCGATAGCTATTTAACCTATCAAACTCAATTTTGCACGAGAATTTAATGCTCTTTCCAATGGTATATAATTTATTTCAATTTACTTGAAATTTAACAAAGATATGGACAGTTGTTCATGACCATGTCAAGATTTTTGAAAATTCTCCAGAGTCAAAAATAGCCATTTGGAATTGATGTCAGGGTCATTTTCCACTAATTTCAACCCGTTCTATCGATTGGTGAAGTCAAAGTTGAGCAAAACTGGAAAATAAAAAAATCGAGTTTGTCATAAGGGTAACTCCTTTGAATTCTAATTTCAAAATATTCAAACCCCAATTGCTGGGTAACCGTTCAGCAAATTGCATTGAATTTTTCAGCATTTATAGCTCTAATTAGGCTCTAAATGGCCTGTAATTTACACTATTCCCAGGTTTATAATTTTGAGCAAATTGAGCTTGCAAGTTTTTGACAAAATTTGGACTAAAAGTCAACTTTGAGTGTCGATTGCTCAATAGCTATTTGATTTATCAAACTCAATTTTGAACGGTTTATAGAAAATTTAATACTCTTTCCAATGGTATATAATTTATTTCAATTTGTTCAAAATTTAACAAAGATATGGGCAATTGTTCATAACCATATCAAGATTTTGAAAATTTTTAGAGCCAAAAATAAGATTTCCTTTTTAATTTTGTTTCTACTTTAAATGGCCATTTGAAAATGATGTCAGGGTTGTTTTTAACTAATTTTGACCCGCTCTATCGATTATTGAAGTCAAAATTGAGCAAAACTGAAAAATAAAAAAATCTAATTTTTCATAGAGGTACCTTTGAATTTTAATTTCCAAATATTGAAACCTCAGTTACTCGGTAACCGTTGAGCAAATTGCATTGAAATTTCCAACATTTGTAGCTCTTATTCAGCTCTAAATGGCCTGTAATTTACAATATTTCCAGATTCATAGTTTTTGAGCAAATTAAGTTCGAAGTTATTGACAAAATTTGGACTAAATGTCAACTTTGAGGCTCAATTGCTCAAAAACTATTTGAGCAATCAAAGTCAATTTTAAACATATTTATAGAGAATTAACTGCTCTTTCTAATGGTGTATAATTTATTTTAATTTGCTTGAAATTTAACAGAGATATGGGCAGTTGCTCATGACCATGTCAAAACTTTTATGTTTGTTTCTGCTTGAAATAGCTATTTGGAAATGATATCAGGGTTTTTTTTCCACTAATTTTGACCTGCTCTATTGATTGGAAAAGTCGAAATTAGGCAAAACTAAAAAATAAAAAAATCGAATTTTTCATAAGGGTATCTACCAACCCTCTTTGAATTCTGATATCAAAATATGCAAACCTCAATAGCTCGGTAACCGTTGAGCAAATTGCATTGAAATTTTCAGCGTTTGTAGCTCTTTTTAGGCTCTAAATGGCCTGTAATTTACAATATTCCCAGGTTTATAGTTTTTGAGCAAATTGAGTTTGAAGTTTTTACAAAATTTGGACTAAATGTCAACTTTGAGGCTTAATTTCTCAAAAACTATTTGAGCAATTATACTCAAGTTTACATGGATTTATAGAGAATTTAATGCTCTTTCCAATGGTATATAATTTATTTTAATTTGCTTGAAATTTAATAAAGATATGGGCAGTTGCTCATGACCATGTCAAGATTTTGAAAATTCTCTAGAGCCAAAAATAGGATTTTCTATTTATTTTTGTGTCTGCTTAAAATGGCCATTTGGAAATGATGTCAGAGTTTTTTTGCACTGATTTTGACCTGCTCTATCGATTGGTAAAGTCAAAATTAAGCAAAACCAAAAAATATCATAAGGGTATCTCCTTTCGAATTCTGATTTTAAAACATTCAAACCTCAATGGCTCGGTAACCGTTGAGCAAATTACATTGAAATTTTCAGCATTTGTAGCTCTTATTAAGCACTAAATGGCCTGTAATTTATAATATTCCCAGATTTATAGTTTTTGAACAAATTGAGTTTGAAGTTTTAGACAAAATTTGGACTTTGAGGCTCAATTGCTCAAAAACTATCTGAGCAATCAAGCTCAATTTTGAACAAATTTATAGAGAATTTAATGCTCTTTCCAATGGTATATAATTTATTTCAATTTGCTCTCATTAGAGGATTGTGACGATAGAAGAGAATGGAAATTAGGTGACTAACAACGAAGAAAGACGTTCTAATTTATATATATATATTTATCAAATCAAGAATTATTGGTACCTAATCATCACTAAAGAAGGGGTTTTTCAAAAAACAAATAGATTTTCAAACTACTTACATATTTATTATATAATAATCGTTATATTACATTTTGGCAATTTACATATTAAGTTCTCTATAAAGCGTATTATTGACGACTAAAACATTTTGGAGACTAGCATATTATAGTCAAAAGAAATTGAGGATTTTTTATACAGATGGACTTTTTTTTTTTTTGATTTCAATAATCGTAGGTATAATTTTTTCCACCTAACTACATACCTACTTATACATTGATACTTATATACATTATTCACTATATAATAATTAAAAACGCTTTTAAATTATTGCTGTCATTTTTTTTTTATACATCTGATAGGCAAATAAACATAAAGTGGTATTTACATCATCAGTTGTTGTGGATCATACCATGTACAATTATGTAAAAATAGCTACATTCGCAAACATTATCTAATACACATAGGTTCTGTACATAAAGCACATAGATGTTATTGTTAAGCAAGGAAATCCAAATCTAACAATCTAAAAGCTGGATGTGCTCGATTCGTTTTACATATACATATGTATACCTACCTATAAATTGGAAAATTTCAACTTCTACAAGTAATTTTTGTGAAAAAAAACCCAATATTAAAAATATCATGTTCAGAAAAAAGATCGGTCGTTCCCCTTTTAATATAAGATACAAATTTTCCATGCCACTTCTTTTCCTATCTTTACAGTTCGTTCGCCTTTCGAGTTAAAATTCTTTATTTTATTGGAACATATTCAGATTTTCCGTGTGAATTGAAGTTTGTAGAAGTCAAAATTTTATTTTCTAATAGTCCTAATGTAAAGAGTGCACGGTTTGGAACGGATAGTCCTTGAGATTTGCAGACCATTTGTTAGCTAAATAACAAAAAAAAAAAAATTATTTTCTTAATTATTCAATAATTGATTCACTTACCTCTATAGTACATTTCTTTGTGCATCGATGGACAATTATTTGTCTGAAACAAAAACAAAATCTCATTAATTGAATTATTTTTATCCTTGTGGATCCAGTCTTTGATATAGTTGAAAAGTGAAAGGGCATTTTATATTAGCAATTTATCAACAGAGGTGGAAAAAGGAAAAACTTAAAACGTAATTCGGCCTGGCTTATTTTAGAAAAGCACTTGACTCGCGTCACTTCTAATTTGCCTATGATAAATCAGTCTGTCTTGTCGCATTTTGGATTTTTAATAATTTAAAATGCGTCTCGCGTCTATATAAAATCACAGTGCAAAATTATCCTCTCCGAGTTTCGGAGGATAAGGGTTGCGGCAATTTAACCCTAAATCCAGACTCGGTAATTAAAGACTAGGTGTACAGTTAGTTTACGACTATTTTGCTAATTTGCCCGTTTTATGAGAATGTAATTAACATTCAGGTTGTTATGTTAATTTTCAAGAAAACATTATCCCGGTTTAACGTCGCATTTATTATTCCTTTGATTTGAATAATATAAAGCAAGACGTGGTTGTTATAAAATTACTTATAAGACTTGTTTACAGGGTGATTGTAAATATCATGTCACCAGACGGTACTTTACTCTAATGAATTTCATTATTCCAGCGCTCCAATCTCCGAAGATAAATTTTCCTCATTGATCTCCTCGATCTTCGTCATTTTTCCTAATAAGTTAAAAGCATCCTTAGTCCATAAAAGTGAATGTAAGGTAAGGAGCGCACTAAAATTGAATATTCTCATAACTAAAAGGATGGAGGGAGCATTAAGAATTTATATCGGCGGCGTAAAGGAAGTGCACCGAATTTATGTGATCCTTTATTTCGGATTTACTGTTTAATAAAAAAATATTTGTTGTTAGTAAATCAAATTCTCCAATGAATTGTTCACAACTTTGTTGTATATGACACGCGTTTGATGAATTTTACATTTGTACAACTTTTTTACCCATGCCTGGATTAAGGAGGGGGCTAAAGAGGCTGCAGCCCCGAGCCCCGCGATTCAAAATGAACGCATTATAGGTTTTTGTATTTCACTTTAATGAATGATAAAGATTTCAAGAGGAAAACCACCTGGGAATAAGTTTAAAACTTTGCTAAAGGAAGTGCAGAGAAAGTGGGAAAATTCTGAAGGAAGTTTCTGAAAATTCGGCGAAGTACAAGGAAGTTCAAATAGTGAAAGATTTTTTTTTCAAATACTCAAACCCCGAAACAAGAAATACCAAATCACAAAGAACTTTCTAATTCATAAATTTGATCAACCGTCTATATTAAAGAATGAAAGGATGTACAGGGAAGTTTAGAGAAATTTGAAGAATTTTACAGGAAATTATCAAGAAATTCCGAGGAAGTTGAAGGAATGACAAAAAAAATCAAGCTATTTTAGTAATTACTACTACTATAGGTTTTTGTATTTCACTTTAATGAATGATGAAGATTTCAAGAGGAAAACCACCTGGGAATAAGTTTAAAACTTTGCTAAAGGAAGTGCAGAGAAAGTGGGAAAATTCTGAAGGAAGTTTCTGAAAATTCGGCGAAGTACAAGGAAGTTCAAATAGTGAAAGATTTTTTTTAAAATACTCAAACCCCAAAACAAGAAATACCAAATCACAAAGAACTTTCTAATTCATAAATTTGTTTAACCGTCTATATGAAAGAATGAAAGGATGTACAGGGAAGTTTAGAGAAATTTGAAGAATTTTACAGGAAATTATCAAGAAATTCCGAGGAAGTTGAAGGAATGACAAAAAAAATCAAGCTATTTTAGTAATTACTACTACTATAGGTTTTTGTATTTCACTTTAATGAATGATGAAGATTTCAAGAGGAAAACCACCTGGGAATAAGTTTAAAACTTTGCTAAAGGAAGTGCAGAGAAAGTGGGAAAATTCTGAAGGAAGTTTCTGAAAATTCGGCGAAGTACAAGGAAGTTCAAATAGTGAAAGATTTTTTTTAAAATACTCAAACCCCAAAACAAGAAATACCAAATCACAAAGAACTTTCTAATTCATAAATTTGTTTAACCGTCTATATGAAAGAATGAAAGGATGTACAGGGAAGTTTAGAGAAATTTGAAGAATTTTACAGGAAATTATCAAGAAATTCCGAGGAAGTTGAAGGAATGACAAAAAAAATCAAGCTATTTTAGTAATTACTACTACTATAGGTTTTTGTATTTCACTTTAATGAATGATGAAGATTTCAAGAGGAAAACCACCTGGGAATAAGTTTAAAACTTTGCTAAAGGAAGTGCAGAGAAAGTGGGAAAATTCTGAAGGAAGTTTCTGAAAATTCGGCGAAGTACAAGGAAGTTCAAATAGTGAAAGATTTTTTTTAAAATACTCAAACCCCAAAACAAGAAATACCAAATCACAAAGAACTTTCTAATTCATAAATTTGTTTAACCGTCTATATGAAAGAATGAAAGGATGTACAGGGAAGTTTAGAGAAATTTGAAGAATTTTACAGGAAATTATCAAGAAATTCCGAGGAAGTTGAAGGAATGACAAAAAAAATCAAGCTATTTTAGTAATTACTACTACTATAGGTTTTTGTATTTCACTTTAATGAATGATGAAGATTTCAAGAGGAAAACCACCTGGGAATAAGTTTAAAACTTTGCTAAAGGAAGTGCAGAGAAAGTGGGAAAATTCTGAAGGAAGTTTCTGAAAATTCGGCGAAGTACAAGGAAGTTCAAATAGTGAAAGATTTTTTTTAAAATACTCAAACCCCAAAACAAGAAATACCAAATCACAAAGAACTTTCTAATTCAGAAATTTGTTTAACCGTCTATATGAAAGAATGAAAAGATGTACAGGGAAGTTTAGGGAAATTTGAAGAATTTTACAGAAAATTATCAAGAAATTCCGAGGAAGTTGAAGGAATGACAAAAAAAATCAAGCTATTTTAGTAATTACTACTACTATAGGTTTTTGTATTTCACTTTAATGAATGATGAAGATTTCAAGAGGAAAACCACCTGGGAATAAGTTTAAAACTTTGCTAAAGGAAGTGCAGAGAAAGTGGGAAAATTCTGAAAGAAGTTTCTGAAAATTCGCCGAAGTACAAGGAAGTTCAAATAGTGAAAGATTTTTTTTTCAAATACTCAAACCCCAAAACAAGAAATACCAAATCACAAAGAACTTTCTAATTCATAAATTTGTTTAACCGTCTATATGAAAGAATGAAAGGATGTACAGGGAAGTTTAGAGAAATTTGAAGAATTTTACAGAAAATTATCAAGAAATTCCGAGGAAGTTGAAGGAATGACAAAAAAAATCAAGCTATTTTAGTAATTACTACTACTATAGGTTTTTGTATTTCACTTTAATGAATGATGAAGATTTCAAGAGGAAAACCACCTGGGAATAAGTTTAAAACTTTGCTAAAGGAAGTGCAGAGAAAGTGGGAAAATTCTGAAAGAAGTTTCTGAAAATTCGCCGAAGTACAAGGAAGTTCAAATAGTGAAAGATTTTTTTTTCAAATACTCAAACCCCAAAACAAGAAATACCAAATCACAAAGAACTTTCTAATTCATAAATTTGTTTAACCGTCTATATGAAAGAATGAAAGGATGTACAGGGAAGTTTAGAGAAATTTGAAGAATTTTACAGAAAATTATCAAGAAATTCCGAGGAAGTTGAAGGAATGACAAAAAAAATCAAGCTATTTTAGTAATTACTACTACTATAGGTTTTTGTATTTCACTTTAATGAATGATAAAGATTTTAAGAGGAAAACCACCTGGGAATAAGTTTAAAACTTTGCTAAAGGAAGTGCAGAGAAAGTGGGAAAATTCTGAAGGAAGTTTCTGAAAATTCGGCGAAGTACAAGGAAGTTCAAATAGTGACAGATTTTTTTTTCAAATACTCAAACCCCAAAACAAGAAATACCAAATCACAAAGAACTTTCTAATTCATAAATTTGATTAACCGTCTATATGAAAGAACGAAAGGAAGTACAGGGAAGTTTAGAGAAATTTGAAGAATTTTACAGGAAATTATTAAGAAATTCCGAGGGGCCCGTGGGCAAACAGTGATTGACGTATTTGTGTGAAGTAATTTACAGAAAAATACTAAATTGACGACAGTGTTGACATCTGTCATTGACATTACCTTACGCACTAGGGTATGAGGTGAATTACTTTAAGCACTAGTGCATGAACTAAAATTTTACGTCTTCTGAAATCTGAATAGTGCATAAAGTGAGTACTTCAATCATGGTAGTAGAAAAAAGATATTTTGACTCACTTTTGTTAAACATGTAGGTATAGCAGTGTCTTCTGTTATATCAGGAATATAGTTTTTTTATATATATTTTTTGGCACCCAATTTATAAAGGGGCTACAGGGCGCCCTAAAACTTCACTAGCCCCGGGCCCCCTTGAAAGCTTAATCCGGCCATGTTTTCACCTAAAAACTGTTCTATTGCCCTTTCAAATCTATAACAATTTGCACAAGGTCCCCTTAAAAGCATCCCAGCAAACAAATCGTTCCAGGTATCATCCCCGTTTTACTTAACTCGCTCAAGAAAATAAAATTTTCCCATCAGCCAGCCAGGCAGGTACACAACTTAAGAAGGAAAACTTCGTTTTCGGCAAGACGTAAAGCTTATTAATTTTCGGCAGTCTCTCTTTCTCAAAAAGCTGTTTTGAATTTCCATCGAGATTAAAGCGAAAGAATTATGAATTTTGAATAAAACTTGCAAAAGACAATGGGAGGTTTTAATTTATTTCTAAAGGATGGAAAAGTTTGTCCCTCGAAATCCTCCAGGAAGCTGTGCGTTCTGGAAAAATTCTTATTGTGTTTTGAGAATTAGTTCCAATAGATTTAACATTCATTGAAAAAATTTAATATTTTCTCACGATACAATTTTTACGTAAGTGTTTGGGCGGCTCTCAAATCCAATGAAATAAATATTGTCATGGCTCTGGGGTGAGTGACAGAATCCCAAAATCAAAGTCCAATTAACACAACAATAATTTATTTCACGTTACTATACACT